GTCATCAGGTTGTTTTTATCGTTGCCGCTGAAGGTGAGGTACCTGTCAGGAAGATCGCTTGCACAGAAGCCCCTTGTGCTCCAAACCTTAAGCTCTAAAGCCGTCAAGCCCAAACTCACAAAAACCTGAAGCCCAAATGGGCCCAAAGATTGCTGAAAGGTGAAGCAACATCCCAGAACTTCAGGAATTTTCCCCTGGTCTATGTCTAGGAGCTTGGGACCCAGGAAGAATGCACAAGGTCCCTGTGAGGCACTGTGAGATGGTGTTGTCATTGTTCACGTCCACGTTGGCGATGTAGGCTTTGGCCGACTGATCACAAGCACGCTGCCACGTGCATGTATGCTAGACTATGCTAGCTTGCAGCCGCCACCAAAAACCTGCAAACATCCGGCACTTTAAGGCAAGTAGCTGGACAAGTCCTTACTGAAGGCATTGGCACTGCAGCAGAGCGGCGGCAACAGCGACAGCAGCAGCAGCAGCAGGAGAACCACCACCACCATCACCACAGAACACCAGAAGCAACACCCGCAGCTGGGCAGCCGTAGCACGAGATCCTGCACGACAACTGCAACGACAACAACAACTACAACAACTTCTACTCCTCCTCCTACTACTACTACTACTACTACTACTACTACTATTACTACATATGATTTCCTTCTTATACTTGTACTTCTACCACGAAAGCTCCCACTATCTCTAGTAGCTAGCAGTGGCATCACTACCATCACTAACGGTCACGAACGCGACAACCAACATCACTACCACTCCATCACGACGACTGCGAGTACGACATACTACGACGACGACGGCGACGACGAGTTTTCCTATTACAACCACGCAGAGGACAGCGAATCATCTACCAAGACCCTGCCCTCGCACCACGACAGCAGCAGCATCAACGACAACCGTAAGCACAACACCCTGTCAAACAAGCAAGCTGACAAACACACAGACAGACAGGCAGACAAGCAAAAAATCCTGAAAGCGTAAATACATGCAACAACGCAAAGTACAAGGAGGGTAAGCTGCATCTGCACGTGGCAAGAACAACCTCCTTTGATGAAAGCTGCAGACGCAGACGGTCAAGCGTTCAGCGCCTGCTTGTCGCTTGGTCCGTTGACCAGTGTCAAGGAATAGCGCTCCTTCTGGCACTCGGTCTCCATCTGGCATCGTGTTCGCGCGTCCACGCAAGGTAAAGAGAAAACATGCAGCCGGTGCAGCGCACTATTGGTTGCCAGTCGGGGTTCACAACCTGCCTACAACGTAGGGCCACCAAATAGAGGATTGCACGGGCACGAAATCTTCCTGCCTCTGGCTAATACAATATAACAAAATGTAACATAATATAACATAATATAACATAATATAACATAATATAACATAATATAACATAATATAACCAAATATAACAAAATATAAGATTTTGTATGTATTATAGCTATACAGTGTAATGTGATGACAACTCTGGGGAGCGGCCTGCTGTTGAAACGTCAGGGGATGCTCGACGTCGTAACCTCCGCTGCATCAAGGACAAGAGAAACTTGGGGAATCTTAGGGTTTAGGGGTTAGGGGTTTAGGGTTTAGGGTTAAGGGTTTAGGGTTTAGGGTTTAGGCTAATACAGGTATTTGAGCCTCGCCTGGGTCATGCTGGGGCTCCCCGTCCTTTGCCTAAGGTACGTCGCCGGCGACCTGTACCGGTTCCGGGGGTCTCCACAGCTTATATTGGGAGCCTTAGTAATTAGAGTAGGGTTTTGGGGTATATTCTACGATAATCATCATAAGGAACCCCAGAAGGTGATAATTTAGGCCCCTATAGAAGGGCAAGCAGTAAGAGCTGGCAAAGGAGAGCTGTCCTTCGCCCCACCAAAAATCAAAGTGCCGGCGCTATCCTCCAGCCAATGTCCTAAACCCTTGCAACCCTCAGTTGATGAACCACGGCTGTTCAGGTAATCTTACGCACGAAAGCATCAGCAGCAGCAGAAATCACAATCATCATCGTGGTCAGGGGATCAACATCGGCAGCATGAGAACAGTTATCAGCATCAGCATGATCGTCGTCCTCATGATGAGCAGCAGCTGTGGAGACTCAGCATGGGCACCAGCTTAGGCAGCATAGGTAGCATCAGAAGCATCGTCGTCGTCGTAAACATCATCACCACCTCCACATCCCCATCGCGATCGTCACAGAAGCAGCTGCAGCATGATGATCATCGTCTTGTCCTTCATGCTGGAGAGCCGGATCCAACCGTTCATGGCTCAGCCTCGAGTGCCTTTTCAACCCTACTGCGGCGCAACTTCGAGCCAAAGCCCAACAAATATCCAATTTTAGGATTTAGGGTTCAGGGTGTAGCAAGTGTAGAAAGCGGCGGGCACTCTGCTCATCCGAGCTCGCCACTGTAGTGCTTCATCAAGCTCTTCTGTGCGGCCCCTACGCCTCAGGATCTGGTGCATCGCTGCAGTCTTGAAATCTATCTGTCTATGCTGTTTGGCAGTCCATCAGGAGGGTGGGTTTACCGAGCTCCTTGCCAAACAACAGCTCGCGGTCGTAGGACATGACGTTGATCAGGGCCTCTGCGGACGAAGCTGCTTGCAGATGTGCAAATGTTCATGCTTTTCCCACGTGCACATGTACTGTAGTGGGGCCTCCTCATGTTCGCTCCCAGACTACAATACAAAAGTTAAGCGGCTTTGGTTCTGGGGCTAAGGGAAAAGATGATGTAGACACAGACAAAGACCACTGGCAACAAGGAGAGATGTCATCGTATGACATCTCTGGCCTAAGTCCTTTTCTCGTGACCTTCGGAAGATGGCCCAGACGGCAGGATGCTGCAAAATGCCCCTCAAAACCAATCCATCTCGATGAGGTTACCGATGTTGTATTGGTTTAGGGTTTAGGGTTTAGGGTTTAGGATTTAGGATTTAGGGTTTAGGGTTTAGCTTGATTGCGCGTCGATTGTGCATTGATTTTGATATCGTCCTCGAAACCGCATCCACATCCTACGAGTTTCCATACGTCCAAAAACTTTCAAACCCTGGCCCTACCGGACAGATGCACTCACCAAGCAGTGAGCCGGCCTTGCCCGAGTACATGTTGCTCTCAAAGGGGTTGGGCACCATGCCTCCGCCCAGATGAGTTTAAACGCAATCGCAACAGGACGGATCACGAATCATGCGAGTGGCAGAAGGACCCTCTCTCGCCATCACAATGCAAGAAGAGACGATGCAACAATGCCGTTCTATGAACGGCTAAGTGCAAACAACTGCAACTCTCCTAGTAACCTTGCTTCGGCTGCTTCCATACTGACAGTGATGATAACACTGTGCACCGCTCAACAGGACGAAAGCTAGAAGCCAGCCCAGCAAGCAAAGCGGCCCCGCGAGCCAACAGTACTTTCCTATTTGCAACCACGCATTCTTAAGAACTTCAGCGAGCATAACCGGTGAAATAAGTAGCAGAGCAGCAACAACATGAATGACAAAATAAAGGGCCGCTGTCCCTGTGAAGTATGCTCGGGGTAGTCCAGCATTCTAGGAATCATCATTCCAGGTTACAACCATCCCTACTGGTCACTGCGCCGCTTTTATCTGCTGCGACTCTTCGCATCTCCATCTGCCTGCCTTCCTGAGGCAGCAACATGTCTGCTAGAGACTCCCGAGCGCCTTCCTGAGGCAACACTTCACCAGAAGGGAGGGGGGCACCGATGCGGACAGATATGAAGCCTGGGGTGCTTTAAAACCACAGGCAGGCGGACTGTGGATCTGAAGATACTTCGGGGGCAGTCTTCCTTGGGAAGTCATGCCCAATTGCGTGCCTGCAAATACGAAATCACATCATCACCTGCAGGACGGCGAGGACCACGTCATCCAGGCAATTCGCAGCGCGCTCGGCCCTGCTGCCCAGGAATCCCTCCAAGCGGTGAAGTAAGAGGTTCTGCAGCCTGTTGTTGAAGGCGGGGATGTCCTCAATCCTCGGTGTGTCTCACAACCCCCGAAACAACCAGAATGACATACGTACATGCGTGGCTCCACATGCTGCCCAGAATCTTGCTGAGGACTAGCTCTTTGTCTGCTGGGAAGGAGGCCTGGGCCTCCGCCACATCCAGGTTCATGATCTTGTCCAGGCAGCTCCGCTGCGACGCCCCCGAATGGAGCTTGATCCTGGACGCCACGACTTGCGGCACAGGACTACCTCGAGAGGAAAGGACCGAAAATGACCGAAAGCGGTTCTCAGCAGGACCCAGGCATCGTTTGCGTCAGATGCAGGTTGTTCGCTTCCACGAGCTCGGCAACGCACCAAACCTGGGCCGTTCTTGGAAGTCACTAACAGGGTTAGATTTCTTGCTTCTTCATCTTGATATCCAAAAGCCTGTTCAAGAACGAGGCCCGGAAACGCGCGTGAGCAGGGAAAAGTTGACCTCCATTGCCACCACCTGGAACTGCTTTTGATCAAGTGCGACAGAAACCAGGGAGCAGCTAACAGTTGCTATTCCTTTTATTCATCCAACTGCTAGTATTGATCGTCTTGGCAGTCTCTGCAACACTGTGACCACCTGCTGCAGCCGAACGTGGCTGCTTTCCCGGATGGACTTCTCGCGCAGGTATTTCTTCAAATAGGCCATCATGTCGTCGAACTTGTTCATCTCGCTGAGATCTCCAGAAAGGTGCTTCGCCCTTGTACACTCACAGGGAATGATGGGGTATCCTGTAGTGTCCGTGGGCGGCGGTGTGGCGCAAATTCCTGCATGCTGGTTCACGGAGAAGGCACACACCCAGTAGGGAACATCGAGCTTCCCCGCATTCCGGAGTTTCAGTGCGAGGTGATCCAGCTTGCCGTGCCTTAGCTGAAGTACTGAATTCCCCGCTCAAGCCTATGCCACTTTCGCTTCCACTCCTGCAAACCCGCAAAGACGTACATCCTTTTAAAGGAATACTCCCAAACAGCCGAATGGCCGTGGCGACCACTGGGCGGAGAGCCGGTGGGAGAAAGTTGCTCCCATGCATCATCCTGGCTCTTGTAAGCATGAAGGTCGTTGAAATACGGGTCGCCGGCTTCGCCGGCCCCTCCGAAAACATACATTTCCTCTGTGGAAGGGTTCCAGACCACAGCTGCGCTGTAACGCGCACTAGGTGGGGAACCGGTTGGTGTAGGCTGCTGCCATGTGGCTGCAGCTGTATTGTAGAAGTACAGATGGTCCAGTCGTGTATATGGAGAGGGGCCATGCCCTCCGAATACGTAAATCCGTTCTTGGCTTGGGCTCCACGCCGCGCGGCAGCATACGATCGTGGGGAAGGGGCCGGCCCTGTCGCTGTGACCTCTTCCCACACGCCAGTAGTCGTCGAAGAGGCCGGGGCTGGAACATTCAAGATCACCATCAGCTGGAAAATTCCGGCCAAGCACCTCCTGGAGAGGTACAAGTCCAAACTTGCACCCTGAACAACGGTCCTCCGCAAATCCATGGCCACATGAAGTGAGTTCCACCTTAAACCAGGCCGAGTACTTTGGCAGATGCTTCTGGATGATGTATGATATTTTGGAATCTGAGATGGAGCTGCGAAGCATCTGGCAGAAGGACCTAATTATACTTTTGTGCGCCTGATTGCGCCTGCGTCTTGAGGAGATGCTGTGCCACCACATGCACTGCAGACATCTGCTGAAACTGCTTTCTGCCTACACTGGCCTCTGGATCTGTGCACAAACTACCAGTGAACTCGCGAAATCCACATACATCGTTCTTGCCTCTCCCTTCGTTCCGAATCTTATGTCTAGCAGTCCAGCAGTCTGGCCGATCAGGAACAAACAGTGGGAGGGTCAAAGGTCCTGCAACAGCAACTGCGTGATTAGATACATGCTTATGGTGACTTCAACGCCCGCGCGGACGGGCGACGGATGCCTGCACCCATAATGCCGCCGAAGAAAGTCACCTAAGCAGATCTGGAGCTCAATCATCTGTTTTGGCTATCCGAGACTGCAGAGAATCGACAAACCTCAGACTCCATTTATGTGCCCATGCTCGCCTTAGATGGCCTTCCTCTCAACTTTGTCACATTCCCCAGTCATGAGACCTCACCGGGCTGCCGCGGTGCTCGGGCCATTTGTTAACAGTTTATGGTCGTCTCAGCCAAGATCCGAACGGAGCCAGGATGACCGACATACCTTGGCTGGTATTGGGGTATCTCGGAACAGGACTGACAAAGGAACGCAGCAAGAAGCCAGCTGGAATTCGGGAGCAGATTCTGGCGGAGTCAAGCCACTTGATGGTCTGCAGGCCGGTGTTCTGACCCTGGCACATCGGATGCATGTACATGTATGCTTGTTCTGTATGTATGCATGTATGCATGTATGTGGTTCTTATGTATACATACAGACAGACAGACAGACAGACAGACAGACAGACAGACGGACAGACGGACGGACAGACTGACAGACGGACAGACGGACAGACGGACAGACGGACAGACGGACAGACGGACATACATATGTAATATGTTACGCACGTACGTATGTGTGTATATGTGTATGTGTATATATATATATATGTATATATAGACACATACGTATCGGTATGCATGCATGCATGCATGTAGGCATGTATACACACCTCTCTTTCTCGTTCTCTCCTGTGTACAAGCATGTGGTATTGCCAATATTGCACCGTGGCTGTGTAGTGTTGCAGCACTGTGTTGCATTTCGTATGCAAGCCTTTGGCATCATGCTGCTTTTAGCATACTCCATGAACGGTGTGATGTGGTATTACACTGGGTTTGAGTGTGCCAAGCTACCTAAATCCATTGCCCCAAGCCCGGCCGTCTCGCTGGCGAAGGCAAAGGTATCCGTGGTCATCACGGTACCCACCTTGAACCTCAGAGGAGCGCAGCCAAAACCCTTCCGGCTTCGAGCTGAATGTACCCAAAGATCATAGAGGCAGAGGGACGGGACGACACATACCACAAAACTAGAGCGGGAACATGCCGAACTCAAAGGCCTCAAGGATCCCTCATGCCGGACATCGAGTGCAAAGTAAGGAGTAGATCCCCCTGTTCCAAGAGTTTCGGGTTGAGACTCCGAGGGTGCAACGGCCCTCACTCGAGACTCCTGTGGGGATGCAGCTGGCCATCACTGCTTTTAAAATATTAGTCTCTACAACCCAACTAGGGAAGCTCCCCCGATGCCTCATCAACAAAACACCACAAGAACAAAGCCAAAAGGTGCTTCATGGCCCGAGTAGTGCAGGGAAGCTCTATGACTCTAGGCTGATATCCAGAAAGACGAACTACAGGACAAACGCTCCAGGAATCCTTCCACCTCTTATTTTCTTCGGCTTGTCATCTAAGATCCAGACCAGCTGTTCGGATCGCCGGAGTTGGAATTGGCAAAGCCTTGGTGGTGAACTGCCAGCGGGCGACCGAGGCCTCTTTGCGCTGCCTTTGATGTCTCGGACGGAAGATATCCTCACTTGACCACCACACTACGCCGCCGCTGCCCACGCAAAGAAACTGGTTGGTAGTTGGTATGCGGTATCTGGAAGCTTCGCGTCAATACCCGTGCCGAGTTCGCTCCGTCCTTGGCACCCCTCCCACCCACGCATTCAAGCTTGACCTGCAGCCACTGGTGCCGGTAATCCCAAACCTTCGACCACAGAACCGAGGCTCATATCTTTTGAAGCTCGAACCCTACACAAACTGACCTGCGGATCCTAAGAAATGTCATCTCCACAAGAGACGGCTCCGAGGCCCTCGCAGACGTCGATGCCCTCGGCTTGGCGTGAGTGCTTGCAAGCTGCAGCCGATTGAGGGCTCAGGGCCGGTCTGTGGAAAGGTTTACGAGGAGGCAAACTGTAAACAACCCTCACATACCGGTCGCCGCTTCAGATTCATGGCCTGGATGTTGGAACAGGGAGCGAAAAAATATGTGTTCTTTTTTCGGGTTTTGTGTGTCAATATGTTTGGTTTGGTTTGGTTGGCTTTTCGCCCGGGTTTCGGAATATTACCCGATGGTGAATTTCCTCGTTTTATGTACGGGATTCGGAGTTTTCTATGTTTGTGGTTTACGGGCTTCCCCAAGCCTGTCCAGACTCGAAATGTTCTAAAGAACCTGGCCGATTCAATCAGATTTTCAAAACACTTTGATAGGATTCTGATAGATTTCCAATGGTGTTGATGGATTTTCCGTGGTTCTTGGTAGTTTTTGGAATAGCATCGTACTGGCATGTATAGTTACAACTCTCAGGTTTGTGCTGGCGGCAAATGCATGTCGTACGACTACGTGACTAATGACAATACTCATCATGAAGTGCCCACAACACTATACTTGTATGTACTGTACCAGCAGTAACACGAGTAATGCGTATGAGGCTAGTAAACATAGTCAAAAGAATTAAACAGCAACAGCTAGATAGCAATAACAGCAACAAGAGTAATAATTGCACTAACACCAAAATTAACAACCTTCGCGCAAAATGATAACAATGGTCAATACAAAACAGTAAAACCAATCATAATACTAATAGAAATAATAAAAATAACAGTACCAGCAGCTAAATTGGTACTAGCCACAACACATGCAAAACACAGAACTCCTAAAAGTACTAACAAGAATCAGGGCCACACAAGTTTTCATCATAATAAGAATCAAGCATTACCCACAATAACAGTAGTCATCATAACAGCAACAAGCAAGAATAGCAAGAATTATACCGATAGTAGTAGTTGTAGTAGTAGTAGTAGTAGTAGTAGTAGTAGTAGGTCGTAGCAGTAGTTGTAGTAGTAGTAGTAGAAGAAGTAGTGGTAGAAGTAGTAGAAGTAGCAGAAGTAGTAGAAGTAGTAGTAGTAGTAGTAGTAGTAGTAGTAGCAGCAGTAGTAGTAGTAGTAGTAGTTAGTAGTAGTGGTAGTGGTAGTGGTAGTAGTAGTAGTAGTAGTAGTAGTAGTAGTAGTAATAAGAATAACAATAATATTGATTATTCATAATCCCAATTGCAGCACTGGCAGGCAACAATGATCACAACAATAACGCCCGCCCCGCTGGCAAACACAACGATGTGTTCGGAAGGCTTCCTATGGATTGTGTCCTTGTCGGTACCATGTCCCTTGAAGATTTGTTTCTTTCTTTCGTACCTTCTTCCTTGCCCGTCCGGTAATTGATGGCTCCTCTTATTGCCCTTCATGCGTTCCTTCTTCTTTGTCTCCTTCTTCCTCTCTTCCCTTCTGCTGATTGCCTTGCATGTCCTTTCTTGTGTGTTTCTTTCTTCCCCTCTTGCTTCTTCCACTCTCCATCCCTTGGTTTCCGTCTGTCTTGCTATGTAATTGTTTCTTTCCCTGTGTTTCGCGGTCAGTTTTTGTATCTTTCTTTAGCTATGTTTGTCTTTATGTCGTTCTTTCCCTTCTTCCATGTGTTTCCCTTCTTCCATGTCCATCACTTGCGTTCTTGTTGTTTGCGTGTTCTCTCTTTTTCTCTGTGTAACAGCCTTTCTTTGTTCTGTTATGTCGTCAGTTATTCTCTTGCGTTCTTTCTGTCTGTTGTTTATGTCTTTCCGTGTCTGTTTCTGTCGTTATTTGTGTCTTTTGTGTTGTTCGTTATTTCTTTCTTCCTTTATTTATGGAGGTACTTCAATATTGTTATTTTTGCTCGGCTTTTTGTTCTTCCTTATTTCATTCATTCACTGTTTCTTTATCATTTATTTACTTCTTTGTCTCTTGATTTCTTTATATACCTATTTCATTCATTCATGATTTATGGATTTCTGTCGTCCCTTATTTGTTTTTCTGTGTCTGTTTCATTGTTTGTCCTTGCTTCCAGTCGTACTTTTTCTGTGTCTGTTTCACTATATATTTCGCTCGCTCTTTCTTTCCGTCGTTCTTTCGTTCTTTCTGCTGTTCTTTTTGTCTTTATGTAAGTAGTTCGTTCTTTGTTGCTTATCTGTTTGTTTTTTGTTCTTGTTATTTATTATTTCTATGGCTTTCTTTCTTTATTGTTTTATGTCTTTCTTTCGTTATTTCGTTC